AGATGCAGTGAATGATATCAATGCTAAAAAGTTCTTTTTCAAAAAGTTACTTGGGATAACATCTTAGAATAAACATAGGCAAGTAAGAGTACTTACAGAATTTCTTAAACTCATGTTCGTTAATTATGTACAGTAGTTACCTATAAAATATATTATGCATATTTCTTTAAATTAGTTCTATTATTCTTTCCATTGCTCATGCCATCATTTGAAACACTATCTGATTTCCCATGATTTTACTTTCCTAACTCATAAGCTCCTGCTATTTTCCATCTTAGCAGCCAGAAGAACTTTATGGAGAAGCATTTATAGATTTGAATCCACACAAAAATTAACCAAGACTTTGTTCCTCAGCTAAAGCAGCTCTGAAATTTTTTGCTTTAATAAAATTTCTTAATTATATTACATAGAAATTAATCATTTAATTTTCAAAATGATAAATACATGGTTAGCCCTAAAATGAATTCAGAAGAATTCACATTCATGTATCAAGCCAGGGCACAAAGATTGTGCATTCCTCCACTCAAGATGACTAGTGAGAAATGTATTATTTCTCCAAGTAAAACATTTGATAATAAAAAGTGGTCAACTCTCACATATACTTGGTATTTTCACATTAGATTTCAAATTCAACTAGTTAGAACTTCATTCTAATGGGAGAATCAGGTATCTGTAATACTTTCCATTGCCACATCCAACTGCAAGTAGCAGGAGTACAATTATATACTAGGAGTCATAAAGACCAGGTGAGTGAGTATGCGAGCAGACTAGTGAAAGTCCTTACCATAACCACAACCTGCTCCACACAGGCACAAACAGCTTCTAATCAGAACTTAAAACAAAAAATAAAATACAACACAGTGAAGAATACATAAAACATGAATGTAAATCAAAGTCTATGTTTAACTTCATATAAATGAAATCTTAAGTATGGATTTTGGGTTTTTATTTTTTGCTGATTGGCTTCTTTTGCTCAATTATATTGGTTAGATTCATCCACATTGTTACAATTGCTCGTAATTCATTCTTTTTCATAAATGTGTAGTACTCTAAGAATAAACTACAATTTATCCATCTACTGCTGACAGAAATTTAGGTTGTTCTTAGTTTTTGGCTATTACAAATAATGATGATATGGACATTCTTATAAACGTTGCCTGGTATGCATGTGCATATATTTTTGTTGGGTATATACTGAAGAGTGAAAAGTATTTATACAGTATAGGTATCTTCAACTGTAGTAAATAATGCCAATGTGCTTTCCAAAGTGGCTGAACAATTTACAGTCACACTAGTATGTATGCAATTTCCATTCCTCCCCATCCTTCCCCGCACTAGGTACTGTCTATCTTTATCTTCTATTCAATAGCTTGCCTTTTCACTCTCTCAACAGTGTCTTCTAATAAACAGATGTTCTTGATTTTAATATAGCCAAATATACCAGTCTTTACTGTTGTGATTAGTGCTTTTTATGTCCTATTAAAAAAAGTAATTCTTTATCCTAAGGTCATTAAGTTATTCTCCTATATTATTTTCTAAAAGCTTTCTTGTTTTGCTTTCTACATTTAAATCTTCAATCCATCTGAATTTGATAATAGTAGATGATATGAGTTAGGAGTCAAGTTTTTTGTTCGTTATTTCTTATGGATATGCAATTGTCTCACATCATTTACTTAAAAGACCATCCCTTCTGTATTGCTATACAATGCAAACATTGTCAAAAATTAAGAATCTGTTTAGGGTCTTCAGTTCTGATCTCTGAAACTATTTTTGCCTATCTTTGCATCAACACCTCACTATCTTAATTACTACAGCTTTAGAAGTCTTGATATTGGGTACAGTTAAGTCTTGTTCTTCTTCAAGAATGCTTTTGACTATTCTTGCCCCTTTGCATATATTTTAACATAAATTTTAGAGTTGGCTTGCCAAGTTCCACAAAAAAAAAAAAAGTTGGGGTTTCAATTAAGATTGCATTGGCTCTACAGATCCATTGGTGAAGAAGTAACAACAGTGAGTCATCTGATTCTTGAACATGATACAACTCCATGTTATTTCGGATTTTAAAAGTTCCTTTCAAACATATCTCATAGTTTTCTGAATAGAAGTCTTATCCATCTTTTGTTAGATATAGGTAAATTAATTTTTTGATGTTGTAAGTAATATTTCTTTTCTCACCATTTGTTCTCGATATACAGAAATGTGTGTATACTGGTTTGTATTCAGAAATCTTGTTGAACTCATTTATTTCAATAATTTATACTTTTGAATTTTATAAATATATACATATTTGGATTTTCTATGTATACAATTATATCAATAACAAATAGCAGCTTTATTTCTTCCTCTTTACTTCTCATTTTATCTTTGTTATTTTCCCTAGCCTACAGCCCGGACTATGACCTCCAACAGTACGCTGAATACGATGCAATAAAAAAGGCACCATCAGTAAACAAGAAAGGGCTTCTGACAACTAAAGATTTTAATAGGTGAAATAAGGCATTCAGTACAAAGATTGTAAGTCAGGGAAATGTTCAAGAAAGTGGAATAGGAAGACAGATATATGGACAAAGAAAAGAAAATTAGAGAAGCAGTCCACAATGACAGTATCTGACTAATATGAATTCTAGAGAAAATAGTGAGGCAGAAAGTATTAAAGTAATAATACATAAGAACTTCCTAGAACTTAAAGACGTGCTTTTCTCTATTGAAAGGGTGCATCAAGTACCCAGCATGGTGTATCAAAAAGTCCCATGTCAAGGCATATCACTGTGAAATTTCAAAACACTAGGGATAAGAAAACACCCTAAAAGCTTCCAGTAAAAAGGCTGGGGAAGAAAACAGGTAGCATATAAAGAACTGGGAATCAGAATGGCATTAGACTTCCCAACAGCAATGAAAGCAAAAACCCCCCCCAAAAAAAAGAAAAAGAGTAAATTCTCCAAATGATTTCCAACTTAATATTCTGTTCCAATCTATCAGTCCAGAGCGAAGGAGAAAATAAAAACATTTTCATATACATAATATCTCCAAAAACGTACATCCGACACATCCTTTATCAGAAAACTACTGGAGGTTGTACTACATCAAAACAAGGAGTAAACCAAGAAATTTAAAAAAAAAAAAAACACAGGATGTAATCAAACAGGGATCAAGCACTGGAGCAATGTAAATTCCAAGGATGATAGTTAAAGAATGTCCCAAGACGACAGATATTCAACAGGCCTCGAGAGGAGCCAGTTCAGACCACAGAACACAGGGCTCCAAGGAAGATGCCTCCAAGAAAACAAATGAAACTGACAGATTACTTGCTATGTTTCACCATACTGAAAAGAATTTTATAGCTGTGTTGGAGAGTTTTGGGGAGAAAATCAGTGATGAGTACACAGGCAGCAAGGGAAAAATCGAAGGAATTAGTAACTATAGGAAAAAGAAAGGAAATGTAACAATACTCACCATGTGACTCTTATAAACCTTACTTAACCAGTCATAAAAGGGAAGGCCTGGGGCAGAGGATGTGCTGCCTTTTATTGTAAGACTTGGAGTATTACCATGCTATTTGACTTTTTAAACTATGTTCTTAAAAAAAAAATTAATTGGGGTTTGGAAAGAAAGAACTCCTATGTTTTAAACAGATTCTGAACCAAGAAATTCAGTAATGTATCCATTTGTTGGATTCCTTAATTTGAGTGATCATTAAGTTTTCTCCCTTCTTTTGTTTATTTACTTTTTGGTTTTAAATAAAATAACTACTGGGTGGCAAGGCTAAAATTATATTACTAAACCCCCAAAGCATCCTCATGTGTTTAGTTAATGCTCACAGGCTGCAATATATTTAGTATCTTGAGAGCTGATCCAAGAACTTTCTTTTTTTAAGTCTTTTCTATGCTTTTGTTTAGGCTAGACCATAAATAAACTCTACCACAGCAGTGACCAAGAATATCTTGTTTATTGACTAATCATTATAAATTAGCACAGTGTTTTGCATGTAGAAGGTGTACAACAAATACTGCTGAATTTAAAAATTCTGCTAAACCTATTCTCTCATACTTTACTCTCTTTTCTCTTACATTTTCCTATCTCGTTTTTCTTTTTCTCTGACCATGCTGTGGACCTACTTAGTAACTCTAACAGACTTTGCCTTAGTCTCACTGGTAGCACTCAGAATAAAATGAGTTACTACTCTCCTCAAAATAATTTACTTTTACATTATAAAAAAATATTCCCTCTTACAAACAGAATAATGAAATATTAGAAGCCTGGAAGGATTTCTCCACATATTGAATAGATAGGTAGATTAGATTAGGTTAGAGAGATAATAGATGAATAACAGGCTAGTCTCCAAGACGCTCCCCAGTTCTTTCGAGAAAAACACGCTTCTACTGATTTCTTCCTTGCCCACACACTATCCATGTATTTCTCCTCTAGAATCCACTTACAGGTTGATGATATAAGTTACAAAGAAAAGGGAAAACAGGAGGGGCAAAGGAAGCACAACCTACTTTACACATCTCAAAATTGTTATCTGACCTCCTTGGAATTATTCCTATTAATACTGCCACTACGGGTGAACTCTGATGGAGAAAATTATATAATACAACGGTAAGTAAACAACGCTGCTTAAATAAGTGCCAACATAGCCATGGTTATAACCATGAGAAGATATTCATGAATCTTATCGGAAGCAGACTGCCACATCTTTCTCCCACAGAGCGACCAGCAGGTTCGAACTGCCAACCTTTCAGTTAGCAGCCGAACTCTTTAATCACTGCAACACTAGGACTCCTTGCACATGTCAAAATATCCAATATTAAAAGCACAAACGAACAAACGAAAAAATGGGAGTCTTCGTTTCCCAAGTTTCAATTTGTAACTTAAAAGCAAAAAAGGAAATATTTGAAAAGATCTTAGAAACACAGAGAGAAAAAAAAGGAAGAAGCCAAGAACCATCTTAAATGCTAACACACAGATTCATGCTTATTTTAATAACAATAAGAACATACCATGCATTCACTGGTTTGGGGGATTTTGAAGGAGTGGTTAAAACTGTTTCCATGCTATTCATTCCTGAATTGTTTTCTTTGGTAGTCACTGCGATCATTTTTCTTTGCTTCTGAGAAAGTTTGATTCCATGAGAAATCATTTTGCTAGAAATTAAATTAAACCAATTAGTTTCTTTGCTTTTGAGAAAGTTCAATTTCTCAGCAATCATTTTGCTAGAAATTAAATTAAACCAATTGTTAATTTTTGCTTAACGAAGGTTACAGATAATTGTATTGCTTTCTATTTCTTTGGTATGATTTTACTATTATTGAATCAAAATGGTTGCAAATTTCAGCAGTGACAATATCAGTTTATACTATCAATGATCAAGTAATAACTATATCTGAGCCCCCCTACTAGTACACTAGCGTATTTTTCTAGTGGAAAATAGTATTGTACCTCATGCCTTCAATCTGTGGCTTTTCTTCAGAAACAGCCCACAATGATCACTTTAGAGGTAAGTTTCTGACACTGTAATGTTGTATTCAACAGAAGCTGGACTATCAATCAATTCAACTTACTCTTCAGCACATAAATAATGGTATGGAGGCTAAATTATTTAGCAAAGGATTTATAATTAATTAACTATAATATCAAATGCAGAAAAATACTAGAAAAAGTCAAGTAATCTTTCCAATTCTCTAGGGCAGAAATATAACTCAACACTGTCTTTCCTTTTTTATGATTTTTTTTTAACCAACCCCAAATTTGTCTTTGGTGTAGCTCCACATTTTTGTCTACTTTCTTCAATTTCCATGATGGTTCTGAGATCCATGACAGGAGGACTGACAGGACTAAAAGACATATGAAAGTTACCTTACAAAGCACTCTCTTATCCACAAAGCCCAATCCCCAAACTCCACTAAAACTGTAAATTATATATAAGATAGTGAGACTATAATTTAAGTCTATTTTGTCAGACATGGCCAACCTCAAAAAGGATATTTTGAATGAAAGATACATACCTAAATAACTACATGCTTCCAAAGTCATAATGTTCAATAATATAACTGAAACTCTTATATTCTCATATTAAAAAAAAAACAAGTGAGCAATGGAAACATTCTTAGGCAGAAGAGCTCACCAAAAGTCAAATTAAATTCTTACCCTTTAGGATGAATGAAGCTTAAAAATTATGTTCTTTCCTTTCTACTATTTAACAAACAAAATATTTACTACTGTTTAAAATTAATAAAAACACACATTAAATAGAAAACTTGGAGAGTCTCAATGATTAGAAGTCTGCCAGAGGGGGATGTACCATGAGAAAAAGAATTCTACAATCTTCAGGAACAGACCATTTCTGATCTAAATGAAATCTCTGATACAGTAAAAACTAGACATATTATTACATATTAAAAGGTGACTGTTTCTTTTATTTCTTTTCATTAAAAATAAATTCTATTGATTATCCTAGCTAAGCAATACTTCAAAATGAATGCAGAAATGTTTATGTTTAACATTTGTCAATGGGCACTGTACTAAAACAGTACAGACTCAACCTCTATTGCTGACTTTTTACCAAGCTCTTCTTCAAATATATTCTTAAAATATTTTAACATTAGTAATTAAAAGATGCTTCTAGGTGTTGCCCACACACTATGAATGCTCTAATTTGTTGACTAAAATAGGCAAAAAAATTGAGACTAATTTCTGAACTACTTTAGACCACATCAACACAGTCTTTGTTCCAACTGTGCACAATACAGCATATTTTAAAAAAGTTACACAAGTGCAACTGAACAAATACGGGAATATCAACCTTTTGGAAGCTCTGAAAATCTTATTCTAAATAAATATACATTAAACCCTTGACGTCACGTTGATTCTGACTTATAGTGACCCTATAGGACACAGTAAAATTGCCCCATAGGGTTTCCAAGGAGTGGCTGGTGGTTTCAAACTGCTGACCTTTTGGTTAGCACCCAAACGCCTAACGACTGCGCCACCAGGGCTCCATTAGCACTTATTAAATACAATGTTAAAGGAAGAGAAATTACTAGCATGTTCCTTGCATACTGCATTCCTTATTTGATTGTAAGAGTTCTTGGGTGGCACAAGCAGTTAAGTACTTGACTACTAGCCAAAAGGTTGACGGTTCAAACTCACCTAGAGGTCTCTTGAAGAGGTGTCTCAGAAGGCATGGGAACAACATGAGTCAGAAATGACTTGATGGCAACTAACAACAACAACATGTTAAGGAGCCCTGGTGGTGCAGTGGACACCCCATGGGGCAGTTCTACTCTGTCCTATAGGGTCGCTATAAGTCAGAATCAACTCAACAGCAATGGGTTTTATTTCATCGTGAGAATAAAAAATTATGGTCTAGATTATAGTATACTTGATAAGTCATTTAGCAGTTTAGCCTATTATCAACCATAGCAGGCATATAAAGATGGAGCACAGGCTCGATGAGCACTGCGAAAGAACAAACACTGTATTCTAATTACATCTACTCCTTCAGTTTTAAAAACTGACTTTTCTAAATAAAAGTATATATAAAATACAGACAAATTTAAAGGACAGCATAATAACATTAAATGCATATACTGTGAAAATCACTTCTGAATAAAAATAACTTTTGTAAGATCTTAAATACCCCTTAATGGGCTGAAAAAGATAAAGCAAGCCCATGAATGGTCTTCCTGATTGGGAGTTTTAACTAATATATACTATCCAAGAAAAGAATAGCTGCTACCAAGTCACAGTATATACATATTATATAGTATATGCTACCATTCACCGATGATAATACAAAAGCAACAAAATTTTGCCTAGGGGGGGAAAAATCAAAGCCTGTTTTAACTGGTTAGCACTTTGTAAGAATTTAGGTAATTTTCTGTGTATTAAAAAATTTATATTACTATTTGCAAAATGTACTTCATTAAAAGTTTTCATGTGATTAAAAATGAATGGTATTTTTCAGACTAACAGATACAGAACAAAATGTAAATCTCACCTGAAAGAGCCAACAACCCAACTGGAAGAGCTTGTATTATCAATTGTGTTACTGGGAATGGGCTGTGGAGCAGATGTTTTAAGTACTGGTGATTTTTCCCATGATTTTAAATCTTCCCTAGAATATGTAGGAGGTGTGCCATTAACATACGGTTTAACTTTTCCCTGGGGGAAAAAATTTTAGAAGTCAGTAATAGCATGTACCAAGCACAGTAAAAAACACATAGTAAATATTGGTTAAATTATATTAAAGAGTAAAATCTTATGACAATTATCATCTAGCATTTTCAATTCAGGTTTTTTTTAGTTTAGTCCCTTAACCAATTCTCAAGCCACATTAGTAACTATAACCAGATTATGAGCTTTGAGAATAATTTTTTTTAGAGAAACAAGTCTGCATATTAAATTCTTATCTACATGAGTACTAAACAAAAGTATTAATAATAATAATGAAAGCTGTTCAAGTAAGATATGAAGCAGTAAGCTAAAATTAATGTCCATGACTTTAGCATGAAACAAAATGAAAGTCTGATACAAATGCCATAATATTATTCACTCTGAATATAACTAAAGTACTCAAATTCTCAAATAATATTGATACTTCAAAAGGGGTCCCCAAATTATTGCTATTACTATATGTCAAGGAAATTATTAAAAGGGTATTTCTACTCTCAAGACAGATGTCTCTGTTATTATATTTATGACATGGCTTCAAGTTTCCTTTAAATCTCAGCTGTCTTCCAGATGAATCTTAAACATTAATATGACAAAAAATTGCCCCAAAACGTGTACCTTCCACAAAAAGGGGGGGAAAAAAAAACTAAATCCTTGAGGCCAAGAAGACTCTAAGAAGAAAGGTAGAGTTCCACTGCCTCACAAATTTCTAGAAGTTGAATATGTTCTATAGATGAGTAGGGGGGCCTTCTCTAGTAAGTTACACAGAGCCTCATTCCTTGTAGATTAACAATTAGAGAATATAAATACTAAGAAGCATCTAAAAATATGGTTTTCCCAAGATGACCAGGCTAGAAACCCTGCAGCTTAATGTCATTTGTGGATAGACTAGGATAAGAACTCAATCATTCCAGATTGTTTTTCTTTGTTAACACCATGGAGGAGAAAGACTATAGAATTTGAAATTAGGCTTATTTTCAAAACAATTTCCCTTCAACAATTTTCAGTGAATGTTAATTGACATTTCAAAAAATAAATTTCAAATAATTTAGCTAAAATTATATTTTTTCACTATGTCAATAGTGTTGCTATACTTCAACATTATATTTTAGTATTGAAGATTATAAAGTCATAAAGGACTCAAAACAGCCACTAAAATCTTAAAAACTAAAAACGCTGTGCAAATTTGAGAAAACTAGCACTGCTTACATTGAGCCTTTAATTACACCTTCTAATAAACCAGAAAGGAGCCCTGGTGGCACAACGGTTTAGCGATCAGCTACTAACGGAGATGTTGGTGGTTTGAATCCACCAGCTGCTCCCTGGGAGAAAAGACCTGGCAATCTGCTCCCATAAAGATTACAGCTTAGGAAACACTATGGGACAGTTCCACCCTGTCCTATAAGGTCGCTATGAGCTGAATCGACTCAACGGTATACACAACAGCACCGTAAACCAGCCAGGAGACAGTTTTAAAGTTAGAGCAAAAATAATGAAAGATAAACTGTTTGAAGACCTAAAAAATGAAGTTAAGGAAACAGTACATTAAAAACAAACCTCAATCTTATCTGGATGAAATCCTGTTGTGAAATCAGGGGACTGTAAATCTCTAGGACTACCCACTCCTGCATAGCTTCCTTCGGAGTCTGATGTCAATAGTTCTGAGAGAGATTCCACAGAATAGGTCTTACCAGATGTTACTAATCCTAAAATATGAAATTAAAAAATATATAAACACATATGCATTGTATTTAATAAATCAAATAGAGCTAAAAGCTTCCATTTATACAGATTTAATAACATTTAAATTACAGTCACTGTGCCAAATTTTTTTTTTTTAATATTTTATTGTGTTTCAGGGTGAAAGTTTACACGACAAATTGGGTTCCCATTTCCTAATTTTTATACAAATTGTTCTGTGACATTGGTTACAATTTTCACAATGTGTCAGCGTTCTCAATATTTCCATTCTGTTTGTTCTGTTTCCACAGATCTAGCTTCAGTGTTGACTGGTCGGTCTCATATAGCTGAGGAAACACATTACTCACAGGTGATACTGCTTATTTTACAAGCCCATTTATTATTTGGCTGAAAGGTGACCTCCAGGAGTAGCTTTAGTGCCAAGTTCAAAAGGTATCTCAGGGCGACAGTCTTGGGGGTTCCTCTTGTCTCTATTCGTCCTGTAGGTCTGGGCTTTTTTTAGGAATTCGAATTTTGTTGTAAATTTTTCTCCCATTTCTAACCAGGACCTTCTATTGTTTCCCTGGCCAGAACAGTCAATAATGGTAGCTGGGTGCCATCTAGTTCTTCTAGTCTCAGGTTAGATGAGGCCATGGTTCATGTGGGCTATTAGTCCTGTGGACTAGTTTCTTGAGTCTTTAATTTCCTTCACTCTCTTTTGCTCCAGACGACTAGAGACCAATAGTTGTGTCTTAGATGGCTGCTTGCCAGCTTTTAAGACCTCAGTTGCTACTCACCAAACTACAGTGTAGCACATTATCTTTATGAACTATGTTTGGCCAATTGACTAAGTTGTCCCACGAGACTATGGTCCTAAGCCTCTGAACCCAGTAAACCAATCCCACGAGTTGTTTGGATATGTCTAGGAAGTCTCTGTAACTGTGCCCCCTATGTGCTTTATTTTATATATATATGTGCAGCATTGGAGCTCTGGTGGCACAGTGGTTAAGAGCTCGGCTGCTAACCAAAAGGTAGGCAGTTTGAATCCACCAAACTGCTCCTTGGAAGCCCTATGGGGCAGTTCTATTCTGTCCTATAAGGTTGCTATGAGTCAGAATCAACTGGGCGGCAACAGGTTTACATGCAGCACACACAAACATGTATATACATATGCCTACAGACACATCTATACATGCACGTGCATGTACTCCCATGTGTCTTCCTATACACATATGCGTACATATCTACCTATGTAATCACGCACATTTTTTGTTTATTACTGTTGTTGCAAAATCGTACATGTTATAGCATTTACAGAAATTGTCCCTTTTTCTTGTGTACTTCTTAATGTCTTCATTTACCTTGGTCAAGTTGTGCACACTTCATCCATACTTGGTATTTTCTTTCCCATCACCAAAAATAACAAGCATCTACTATCTAAAAAGTGATTCCCCCTTTCCTCCCCCTCCCATCCCTGGTAACCATCAAAGAACACTGCTTTCTGTGTGCATATCTGTTCTTGACTTTTTATAATAGTGAGACCATACAATCTTTGTCCTTCTGTGAGTAACTTACTTCACTCAGCATAATGTTCCCTGGATGGTTTTTCTTTCTGCATATATTCTCTTTCTGTTGATTGAGAGCTATTTTTAGTTAACTTATCACCTGAAGCAAGAAGGTTGTTATAAAAAGTATATAGCATTTCTCAGGCAAGCTAAACTCTCGCCTCTCTGCCACATCTGATATTCAGATTCACTGGCATTAGGGTCATTTCAAATATAAACAGAGTAAAAAGTAAACTTTTGCTTAGGTTCATTTTCATACATTTCAAATTTATTAGAATCTAAAAGAACTACAAAACAAATGCTTTATGAGTTGTAACTAAAAATTGTACACTGATTTAAAAATAAACAAAACATACCATCTCTTATATATTCAAATAAGTGTTGTTCACTTTAAAATAAATCACCTTCACAAGCTATGTACTTCATCCCCCACCCACAATCTTTTGAATACTTTTAACAGTGGCAAATTTTCATCTCAGAGAGTATATTTAATGTTAGAATGCTCCTCAAAGTCAATTAGAAATAAACCTAGTGAATATATAAGATGATTAAAGTAATCAACAATTAATTTTGGTCAAAAACAGTTCCAAGCAATTTTTTTGTCTAACTTACTTCAAGGAGCAACACAAATGGTAAGGCTTCAGAGGACTCTGATGAAATATGCCTTGTATTCAAATTTTCTTCCAGAATAGGTATGTTGGGCCCTCAATTAAATTAAACTTTTTAATCATTATCTGCTTTGGTCACAGAAAAGAGTGATATAGCAGGGAGAATACAGAACTGAAATCAAGAGTAAATTCTATTTCTGTCTGTCACTACTTCAAAATCAGTTAGGTTTTTCTCCCCATATTTAAAGTAAAGGACACAGTCTCATCCTGCTCTAGAAGGTTAGGATTCTAACACATGTGCTAACAATAACATTATTTAAAACAAATCAAGTATCTGCTTCTTCCATAAGTCTTCTAGGTGATGAAAAATCAGCAGTTTCATGACTGTCTATCCATTTATTCTTCTAAGGATTAGAAATAACTCATTTAATACAAAAAACATGAAATCACAGAATTTTAAATTTGGAAAGTTCCTAAGACATGTCTTTTCCATTTCCCTATCTTTAGTGCTTCATAAATCAACTTAGGCATATTATCTATTTTTTTAAATATCTTTTGAACTATCTAAAACAACTGTTGTTGATATTATTTATTCTTCTGAGCTTTATCTAACATGTCAGGTACAGGCAGTCCCTGGGTTATGAACGAGCTCCATTCCTAAGTGGGTCTTAAGTTGAACTTGTAGGTAAGTTGGAACAGGTACATACAGTTCTTATTCAGCCTTACTTTAGTGCAAGAAAAGGATCGAAGCATTTTTAACGATTTAAAAGCTGCATGTACAGCAAGTGAAGGTGACTGTGATGAAGAATTTATGAGTGGGCATTGGTTCAATTGTTTCGAAGTGAGGGCAAATTTACATAACATTAAAAAGCAAGTATGAGTTGTCTGCAAGTCAGACGTTCATAATCTGAGGACTTACTGTACCTCATCTGTAGTATATTTTTAAACATAAAAAGAAATTCTTTGCACTAAATAACAACCAATTTTTTCAAAGGGACACAAAACAATGTGCACTTCTGTTTTCAATGTCACTTATATAAAGCAGATTGACCATGAAAGTACTGCTGAGTAGAAACTGCACCACGTTAGTCTTACTGCTATAGACATACTTCCCATTTCGGAAAGCCACACTGTAGTATCGGTATCATTATTTTAAAGGCACGTCTCATGTTTCATCTGGAGAAACTGTTAAAAATTTAGATAGTTTAACCTAATCTAATTAGACAAATCTAGAATGTGGGATATTTCTAAGACAAATAGCCTAAACTTTTTAGGGGGAAGAAAGCGGGGAGGGCTGTTCTAGTTAAAAGAGACTGAAGAGGCATTAATCACCAAAGGGAATATGAATCTTGACTGGAACATAGATCTTTTTTTTTTTTTTTTAAGATTAAAACAAACAGACAAACAAAAAAGCTATAAAAATATTTTTTGGATGATTAGGGAAATCCGGCTATGGGCTGCAATACTAGATAATACTAATAGTTAAGATTAATTATCTTAGGTGGGACCATGGTATTGTGGTTATACAGAAGAATATCCTTATTCTTAGCTGATGTATATTATTTTGGGGTACAGTGTTATTATGTCTACAACTTACTTTCAAACAGATCACAAAAAAAAAAATTCTTATATAAAGAGAAATATACACACATGCACATAATTTAGTGTGTATATATTTGCATGGTGGCAGTGGGGAGCACACAAGAAAGAGCCTGGAAGGAAAAACAAATGTGGCAAGAGGTTAACAATCAATGAACCTGGCTGATGGGTATATAGGTATTCACAGTATTCTTCCAACTTTTCAGTAAGTTAAAGATTTTCAAATGAAAAAATTGGGAAAAAAACTTTAGAAAGGTGGATAACCTTTACTTTCAAATCCACCCAAACCCACTACCATTGAGTCGTTCGACTCATAGTGACCATATAGGACAGAGCAGAACTGTCCGATAGGGTTTCCAAAGCTGTAAATCTTTATGGAAGCAGACTGCCACATCTTTCTCCCATGGAGTGGCTGGTGGGTTTGAACAGCCAACCTTTCAGTTAGCAGCTAAGGGCTTTAACCACCATACCACCAGAACTCCTTTACTTTCAAACAGGCTCACATAATGCCTAGATATAAAATGTATTGTATTTGACTACTAGATTATGAGCTCCTTAAGCACAGGAATGACATTTCCCTTGGTGTGGCACCTGGAGCATTGAATTGAATCTACTTGATAGTAAGAGTCTCTGTCCTGTTTTACCTACCTTGAGCCCTCCATGCTACTTGACAGAGTGGTCTTTCTAAAAACAAAACCTATGCAGTCACACACTGCTTTAAAAATCCATCATCAGCCACACACTTGACCCTCTCCAAACACTTCCTATCTGCACACAACCTATATGGTTGAGCCATGCTAAACTATATGTAGAAAAAATGTGCAAATTCTTTCTATTGCTTCTAAGTTTAGGAACATATTACCCTCTTTGCTTAGTATGTCTGCTTGCCTCCTTTATTTGGTTAACTTCTCTTCATTCTTCAAGATCCAGTTTACATACCACCTTCCCCCAAGGGGTCTTCCCTGATCTCAGACTAGTCTGATTGCCTTTTTTGTGCCCACAGAGCAAGCTGCAATCAGAGTACTTATCACATTGCACTAATTTTCTGTAACCTCCCTAAGAAAAGAACTATTTTCTAATTCAGCAGTCCCAGTGGATGGCATGTAACAGGATTTAATACATATTAAATAAATCAGATAATTAATAAAGACAAACCAAAGATTAGAACTGGAAATAAATGCTAAAACACTTTCCACTAACCTGTGGATGGTGGACTCTGAATAACATCTGAAAGGTTATAACCTCCAGAACTATCTGAACGCTTACGTGGCTTCTTTTTTGCTTTTGTTTTCACCTTCTTGAACATAGTTTCCCTAGGAAGAAGCAAACATAAAAGTCATTTCATAAAAATATATTAAGGTAGAGATTAAACAGCAGAACTATGCATTGGACTACCAGAATACAGCATTTTGGTTAAACAGAAAACAAGATTACACAGATTCTAGTCACAATTAACTATGAGGTACTGAGCAAATTAACTTCACTGGGCCTCAGTGTGATATTATTACTTGTTCTAACCCTAGCATTTCTGTGAAAGTTAAAAATAAGATGGTATATAGGAAAATATTTTGAAAAGTAAAATACTGCACACATTTATAGTATTGATCACAAGATCAAACTATGATCTTGAATCAGAAATATTTGGTAATAATTTTTAAAAGCATTTCAGATAATGGTTACTATGAATAAAAAAAGGAAAAATAAAATATCTATGAGGGCCACAACTGTCATATTTTAGCTAAAAATTATAGATCTCATTATATATTTCATCCACAGTTACACAGGTCAGCTGTGAATACTATTATTTTGTAGAGAATAACATGAAATGTTTATATTAATACTAATATATAGGTACCTCTGGGTTGTGCAGAGCCTTGGTGGCACAGTGTTAAGAGCTCGGCTGCTAATCAAAAGGTCAGCAGTTCGACTCCACCAGCCACTCCTTGGAAACCCTATAGGGCAGTTCTACTCTATCCTATAGAGTCACTATGACTCGGAATTCACTCGATGGCAACAGATTTTGGTTTTCTGGGTGGTGCAAACAGTTAACATGCTCACCTGCTAACCAAAAGGTTGGCAGTTCAAGTCCACCCAGAGGCACCTCAGAAGAAAGGTGTGGCAATCTACTACCAAAAAATCAGCCATTGAACACCCTATGGAGCACACTTCTACTCTGACACACATAGTGTTGCCACAAATCAGAGTCAACGCAACAGTAACTGGTATGTACAGTAATATAATGATTTTCATGATCATTTTAATATCATACATAAGTCAGATATCTATAAACTTTAAGTATTTCAAATGCTGCCTGACTCAAAAAAGGATTTAAAAAATGAACATCTCTGGAATCCAAGAAGCAATTTAAGAGGAAGCTACAAAACTGGTTATATAGCAAACTACTTGAATACCTAAAGGTTTCACATAGTAACACTCTGCAAAAAGTTCATTTACCAAGCAGATGGAAAAGTAACTTTAACCAGATGGCAAGTGAACCAAAAACACTGACTGGAAGTTCTATATGAGGCCCATCAAATGGTCAGCCCCACTATAGGAGGATTACGTAGAACCTGGAATTTTACTGCAGGACCCACAAATGTCAGTCACCGTAGGTCATATTTCTTGAACCAGTCAGGTTCTCTAGAGAAGAATATTTTCAGAACAGCACCTCATCTGTGGCTGGTGCACCACTCTCTGGAGCCTCTATGATTCAACACCTCCAGAGAGTAAACCTGCCAAGATGGAGGAGAAAGAGGTCCAATGCAAGACTTTCAAACAATGCTCTTTTCCAAGTTCAACGACTCACTCTGGTCTTCATAAACCTGGTGCCATTAATTCTTAAGCCTTTCCAGGATTCTGTTTTAGCTTTTTTCTGTTCTACGTCAGTTACCATTTGGCAATCACTTTCCAACTGCTGAAACTATTAACATCTCCTAACTGCTGTTTTCCCCTTTCCTGTCCTCTCTGCTCTAATGCAATATGCCTTTCTATTTCTTTATTATAATCTTGGTAGGAGTAAGACAAATGCACTCATTCAACCCAACATGTTTAATCCAAGGCTACATTCTTTTTACATTTATATTTTAAATTTGTTAGACCTGCAAATATTAACTAGGCATTCACTTTGTATTATTTCAAGGCTTAGAATAAACACAAATACATACTTCTTATGTCAGGTTTCTCAATTTTTTCTTCCAATGTCAACACAAAAGTGTCAAGCGTGCCCAAGATTGAGGAGAAAAAGAAGGAAAAAAAAAGAGAAAGAGAAAATAGGGCTTACAAATAATTTTGTTCCATATTTATTTCTTCTTTCAAAAAGATATCTCCATCTTCTACTTCCAAATAACTAATATCTGGTCCATCTTGATATGGTGTAATAACCCTCCTATCCATTGCTGGGATCTGTAAAAGGAAAGATGTCACTTTTTAAACACAAAATTTGTAAAGATTTTTTTTTAAATAGGTATAACATCTTATTTGTTTTAATATGTTATGACATTAACTAGAAAAAGTCTAGAATGTCTAATGACTTCCTGACTACAGTATTATGATTAGATTCTATAAACAGTTTATCCATAAGAAAGTGAGAAAAAAAATACTTTTAAACAAACTCCACTTTATTGTGAAATACATATTAAAGCATTTCTTAGGGATCATCTGAATCCATGTCTTTGCACTGTGCTGACCTTTGGTAAATGATGAAAGACTCTCTGAAGCTTTCAATAACTTTTATTTACAGGGAATTAAAATAGACATTAATTTTATCAATAAATATCTTCAATTTCAATTATTGTACTTATTGTGGGATCTGTAAAGAAATCCTACGTCCTCATTTTAGAAAGATCCTCTAATGTATTACAATTCATTAAGAAATTATTCCACTGGGAAGTCTGATCTAATATTCTGCTTTAGTTAATAATATTATAGCCAGGCTTTACTGAAAAATACAAACGGTACCATTTTTCGGTAAAACACAGAAAGATCCTTCAAAACATCATCACTTAAAACATCAAGAGACCTAAAAAACAGGATAAAAAAATTCTACGGTAAGACTCAGTGACTTAATACTTCTCAGGATTTTCAAGTACACAGAAATAGTTCGTATGTCTAATGAGTAACGAAGTTATTTTTGGAGCACTGACTATACCAGTTGCTACAAATTATTTTTGGAAGTAGGTGTAGTTATAAATTATACACTTCCAATAGACAGCAAACAAATCAAGACAAATATCTTGAATTAAACTCAAGCAACTCTCATCAATAAGTATACAAAGAATCATTTCTTTTTTAACAAAACAGTAAGCATTTTCTAACCTTCATTTTTCACAAATTATAATCATTAACAGTAAGGCAAGCATTATATCGATAGAACAATGGCCTGAATATGAGGATACCTGAATTCTATCTAGGATTAGCACTGCTAACAATTACCTACATGACCATGAGCAACTCACTTTACCTCTATGGGCCTGAGTATCTCCACATCTGAAATGCGGTTTCGACTAGATTAGTTGTATTCAAGCTAGATTTCAAGGAACTCTCGGGTTCCAAAGAGGTACTGTAAGGTGTCAATGACAATTTAAATCAAAGTTTACACGAGGATTAACTGAATTAATCTATGTAACACTTTTAGAACACTGCCTGGCACACAGTATGCACTAATATTAGTTATTACTATTGCTATTAAAACAAAATATAGAAATAACTGGACGCTGAGCTATTAACTGCAAACTGACACTAAGACTCTAAACTTCTGTTTGTAGCCTCATTTTCTCACCATTAGCTTTACAGTGAATAAATGTAATAAAATTTTGACCTTATATTAAAAAGATGCTTGAAAATTTATTTCATCAAAAAAAAAAAAAAAGACCCACTGCTAAAAGTTTGAAAACAATGGGACTAATTTCCAAGTTCCCTCTAATTGTAAAATGTCTGTGACTTCTAAATCACTAAAAAAAACGTGCTGCCGTGGAGTCAATTCTGACTCATAGCGACTCTACAGGACAAAGGAGAACTGCCCCCATGGGGTTTCCAAGGCTGTTATCTTTACAAAAGCAGACTGCCACATCTTTCTCCTGAGGATCAGCTGGTGGGTTCAAACCACCAACCTTTAGGTTAGCATTTCAGCTCTTGACCATTGTGCAACTAGGGCTCCTCCTAAATCATTAGCCTTTATCAAATTATTTCCATCCAAGTAAACATCAATGTAATATGGAATATTAATTTATAAACTAGGACGGACATATGCAATTAATTGATTTTTATCTAAAATGTGTCATGTTTTAAATAAGGAGCACTTCATTACAAATTGATTTCTGTGTAAAGGTTTCAACACATATATCAGCTTGCTACAAACCAGACCAATTAAATTTTTCAGGCCATCTACTGCAGCCTAAATTTGATCAAAGAAATCAGTATATAGTATAGGAAATGTCTTAAAGAGAATAAATACAAAGAACAAATAGATACCAACCAGTAACAAATTTTCTGTATGCTTAAATGAAAGGTAGTTAAGTACTAGTTTAATTAGTATTACACATAGTGTCTAAAAACCAAGGTAACAACTACATGGTTACATATCAGCCTAAACAAGTAAACAGATAATGCATACAAATAAAAAATACACTTGTGATAATACTGTTTCACAATATTTCAACTAGCATGTAAGATTCACTAAGGACAAAGATTTTGTCTGTTTTATCCACTGTTGTATCCTAGCACTGGCAATAGTATTTGGCATATAGTAGGCACTAAAATATTTGGGAAATGACTGAATTCTTAATTTTTTATTTTCTACATAGCTGGAATTTATTATTATTCAGTTTTAAATTACTAAGATACCTGCTATTGCATATAAATATCTGCTTTTTGAGTTATATAATGCATGCACTTAACCTACCTTGCTTCAAGCAAAGCTGCCATATTCAGTCCTATAAACTGTAAACAAGACAGTTTCAATTGTTCAGCATTATACATGGCTGCAAATTCCAGTAGCATAGCAGCATTTTTAAGGGTAACTATAAAGGAAGAAGAGATTTGCAAAAAATGAAATGAAAGGCATGTTACTACAGCAAATGAGGTATACTTATTTCTAAGGTTTCAGGTTTAGAAAACTGAAAGTAGTTTCTCGCCAAAGATAACTTATACTGGGGCAAAGACAGAACTCATTTTCCATCCCAATATGCCAAAGTAATTTTAAATGACTAGTTATAAAGAAGTTATAAAGTAAAATAAGTACATACACAAAAACATTCTAAGCAAAAGAAAACAGTAGGGGCACTACAGTGTCACCTAAAACAAACACACAAGAATTGACAATCTTCCATCTAACGTTTTCTGAATATTTTTAACTTTCATTGATGAACAACTTTCCTTTTTATTTATATAGCACAGAATAATTATTCTCCCTTCTATAAAACTTTAAAAAAATTTCCTAAAACTAAGAGAAATTGATGAAATAATTCTACTAGGTATACATTTCGAATACTCTATCAGAATTTATGAGGCTATATTTATGTATATAAATACAAACATGTTATATATTTGTTAAATAAGTATATTTAAATTATACCACAAAATTACTATTTAAGCCAGTGCAGAATTCGGCATACTATGCCGAAGATTCTGGGTTTAGTTACAATCCCAGTAGACAGTCTTACATATAAAGTGTCCTGTTTTGCTAGAGACCCCCCCAGAATATTCTCCCTAGCTAGCATCTAACTTTGGCTTCCTAAACCCCTACAATAATTTTTTTTTTTACTTACTCAGAGTCCCAGACGAAAGAGGAGCACGACTGCTATACCTGGCTTCCTCCATTCCTTTCTCTTTCTGCCTTGTAACTCTGTCCAAGGTTGCAACTACAGTCAATAATGGACTTCTGACTCACTCCTGACTAACTTAAAGTTTCAGCTAACAATGAGCCCAAGGTCTCACATCTCACAGAAGTAAAACTGGATCACAGAAAAAAGTCTTTAGAGTTGTTCAGTTGGCGAGAAGGATCTGTACACTGGTCAAAAATTAGAGTCCAACTTTTGTTGAACCTTTCACTTGCTAGATTCCAGAGATCCAGGGGCATTACATAAAGTAAAAGCAATTGTGCAGCAGGGGCTAAAAAGGAATATCCAAGTGAAGCCAGGAAATTTAACTGAACTGAAAATACCACCTGTATATATCTTCTATTCCTATTGTATGTCACGTCCTTTATTTTAATATATTTCCCTTTTCTAGCTTAAAAAGAGATCAGGGCTGTTATTCTTATTTTTGACAACTAAAGAGAATATAGTCCAAAGAGCTCAAGAAAAGTGAATAAATATGACACCCGAGCCAAGACTTAAAATGTCTAGCAAGTACAAATTAGAAAAATTTGACAGGAACCCCCTCAATTTCTGAAACAATGAAGCAGAACAAAGATAAAATTAGAAAGCCACAAGATTTCCATGTTAGGCTAAGGAAATTTAAGTTATTCTAAAATAAAAACAGTTAAAACAGGGGAGAGACGTAATTACTTCCCATAGACACTTAAAGAGGAGTAGAGAGGGGAAAAGAGCATTTAAAGACTACTGCGACACAGGAGGGAGGGATAATAATGACCCCAACTAGACGTCATTGGGTGGGGGAAAATGTGATCAATATAGTTGAGAATGAATCAGTTTTGACAGCTGATAAATTTGGGTATAAGAAACAAAATAACAAAGAAAAGAAAGCTTTGGGTTTCAAAGTTGTGTGTTGAAGAGGACAGCCATGCTACTGAAGAGAGCAGAAATAGTATTTTGAGAGAAAAAAGATGTTTGGCTCAGATATCTTAATGGAATAGTTACATAAAAATTCCAGGAAACAGTTTGAAAAGGGAGCAGCTAAAAGTAGAGTTATATTGATATACATAGTATATAAATTTTTACCAAGAGCAAGGGTAAAACGTTTCAGCTTTCAAACTTTCACCTTTCAAGATCCCAAATAAAATTGACACCACCTTTATTATTCAAGGTTTTATATTCCAAAAAAAATTAACAGCATATTTCAATTCTAAGATGCACATATTTTTGGATGCTATCATCTCAGAAATAGGATGTGCTTACAGATGATGTTGCATAACAGTGAATATTTTGACATTTTTTGTGGTACAAAAAAATGATAGCATGTTTTACCATAAACAGTGTCTTAAAGTGAGTAAAATACAGTAACCCTGGATCAACCCGAAAATGTACTAATATTCTAATTTAATAATACTCACGTTTTTCAGTTAATGCTACTTCACAAATCTCTTTCAATCGAGTTATGAGAAACTGATCAGCCACCACAAGAACACTACAAATAAAATCCACATTTTGAGATTCTAAAAAAAAAAGAAAAAAAAATATCACTATTATTTCATAAACATTACACCAAAAAAAAAAAAATGAAGTAATTAAGACACTAGAAAAGAGAGAATTGTGATGATTATTTTCTAAATGTTGGCATGGCAACTATGACCAATACTTTAACATCAAAATATTTCTACCTTTTAGATGGAAAGCCAGGTAAAAAAATATACCAAAATGCTCTGGCTCACACCAGGATCACAAAATGACCAACTGGAGTTGATCTCTGTAGTCCACAAGGATACTCGAATGCCTAACTTGTTTATAATCTCCAATGCTATAAGACAAACATTTCTCAAACCAATAAATAGATGGGAAGGTAAAATCTCAACATCAAACTTTAAAAGTATGTGTAGGAGGAGTTGGGTGATAATGCTTGTCATGGATTGAATTGTGTCCCCCAAAAAATGTGTGCAGCAGCTTGGCTAGGTCATGACTCCCAGTATTAAGATGATTGTGTTATCTGATGTGATTTCCTCATGTGTTGTAAACTCTACCACTATGATGAGATTATATGTGATCTTCTCATGTGTTATAAATTCTATCACTGTGATGAGGTTATACTGATGAGGTTGACAAGATTAGCGTCTTAATGCAATCTCTTTTGAGATATAAAAGAGAGAAGAGAGCAGAGACACATGGGAACCTCATACCACCAAGAAAGCAGTGCCAGGAGCAGAGCACGTCTTTTGGACCTGAGGTTCCTGCACAGAGAAGCTCCCAGACCAGAGGAAGATTGATGACACAGACCTTCCTCCAGAGCCAGCAGAGAAAGCGTTCCCCTGGAGCTGATGGCCTGAATTTGGACTTGTAGCCTACTGGACTATGAGAGAATAAATTTCTCTTGGTAAAGCCATCCACTTGTGGTATTTCTGTTGGAGCAGCACTAGATGACTGAGACAATGCTCTTAGGCTTTTTTTTAATTTAAAACAAAACCAGTCATCTAAGGAGTACTTTTTTTAATATGTTGTTGTGTTAGGTGCCATAGAGTTGATTTTTGACTCACAGTAACCCCATGTGACAGAGTAGAACTGCCCCATGGGGTTTTCTTGGCTATAATCTTTATAGAAGCAGATCACCAGGTCCTTCTCCCATGTAGCACCTGAGTGGGTTCAAACTGCCAAAACTTTTGGTTAGCAGCCAAGCACTTAACCACTGTGCCATCAGGACTCCTTTTTTTACTATAAACCAAAAAAAGCCAAACCACTTGCCATCGAGTCTGTTCTGACTCACAGTGACCCTATAGGACGGAGTAGAATTGCCCCATAGGGTTTCTATGCAGCCGGTGGTAGATTTGAACTGAACTAACTTTCAAATTTAAGAACCCCTATAGTAAAAAAAAAAAAAAAAGGAGCCCTGGTGGCACAGTGGTTAAGCAGCCGTAACTCTTAACCAACGCACCACCAAAAACAACAAAACCAAGCTTGTTGCCATCAAGTAGATTCCAACTCACAGTGACCTTATAAGACAGAGTAGAACTGCTCCACAGGGTTTCCAAGGAGCAGCTGGTGGACGTGTCGACCTTTTGGTTAGCAGTCGTAACTCGCTGTAGCTCTTAACCACTGCACAACCAGGGCTCTTTTTTTCACTCTAGGGGTTCCTAAACTTGAAATAACTTTCTTGGTTGTAAGTACTACTAATAGCTCTAGGCACTGCCCCTGAGCCACTGCCAAAGTAGCAGCATAAGTAGAAAAACAACAACAATATGGGTAGAAAGAAAAGGGGGAAAGGGGGTAAAAAAAACAAAGAAAAAAATTGAAGCAGAAAATGTTAAAAAGAATGAGAAAGGGGTGAAGTCACTAGGAATGGCAGAGTAAGGACTTCCAAAAACTTTGCTTCCATAAAAGCAATGAGGACACTGGTAACAATTGCCAAAATCAACTTTTTTTAGAACTGAGGAAATTAACCATAGGCTTGCAACAATTTGGGGAGTATTTATTTAAGAAAAATGAATGAATCTTGGTAAGAACAGTGAGCTTTGGGATACTGCAGCTTTCCTATTATTCCCAGTCCTCTCTCCCCAGCTCCGCAGTAGCCACGAAAACCACAATCCTGGTGAAAATGAGCAGCCTAGCAGCCACTGGATGGGACAGAACCAATCTGGAGTTCCCCAAAAGCAATGGCATCAGAGAATTCTCATTATTTAAACTGTCTGGCAGTTCCCTGGAAAAACCCACTTGCATGGCTGGTCTTTATTTAACCTGACTCAGATATGACCGAGTGTGAACAGCCTTTTACCTGGGGCATTTGTAGAAAACAAGCAGCAGCAATTGTTTAACATCTAAGCTTCCTGACAACAAGAGCAGTTGGAACAAACAAAAAGCTGAACAAAATACTTAAAAAGATGAGATATGATATATCTATAAGGGGTTTTAAAAAGCTCCAACATATTCCTGTGAAACCAGAAGGCCACATGCATGAACAGGGCTGTGCATATGCCCAGGGCTATGTGCATGCCCAGGAAAGACTTGAAAAAGTCCTAAGCTCTTGTCGCTGGCTGATTGTGAGGGGCTGTGCAAGTAGAATATAAAAGCTAAGGCAGAGTTGTAAATAGCTCGCCAAAGCATTGAAGTCATGCCCCAACATGCACACAGAGCCCCTTGGCAAAGACTGAGAGATTTATTAGTTCTAGGAATTTAAAGATATCTCTGACTAATTATTAGCTGACCACTAAGCTAACCAAGCACAGACTTCAGTAACAACACACGACAAAGAATACAGACTTTACATAATTCAGAAAAATCATTAAACGAACGAACTGTAACAACAAATCCTGGGGAAGGGGAAGAATCTGATTTTTCCCTCATTATACTACATAATGCCACATTATATTATTTAAAACGACCAGTTTTCAACAAATAATTAGGTGACAGGCAAAGAAACAAGAAATATGGACTATACACAGAAAAAACAGCAGTCAACAGACTGTCCGTAAGGAAGCCCAGAAGCTGTACTTGCTGGACAAACACTTTGAAACAGCTACTTAAATATATTCAAATAACTAAAAAAAAAGTCTAAAAAACTAAAAGAAAATATAAGGATGATGTTTCACCAAACAGGCAATAACAATGAAGAGGCAGACTTATGAAAAAGGAACCAAATACTATTCTGGAGTTAAAAAGTACGATAACTGAAATAAAAAATTCACCAGAGGGACTTAATAGCAGATGTGAGCAGGCAGAAGGAAGAATAAGCAAACAAAGCAAAAATCACAAGCAACAAAAATAGATTGGACTTTATCAAAATTAAAAACTTTTGTACTTCAAAGGGCTTCTGTTAAGACGTGAGAAAGTGAGCTTCTGTTAAGGACGATCAAAAAAATTGGAAATTGATACTGGGGATGATTGCACAACATGATGAACGTAATTAATGTCACTAAATTCACATGTAAAAAATGTTGAAACAGCAAATTTTTTATATATACATATATATATATGGAATCCTGGTGGTACAGTGGTTAAGAGCTTGGCTGCTAACCAAAAAGTTGGCAACTCAAATACACCAGCTGCTCCTTGGAACTCCTATGGGGCAGTTCTACTCTGTCCTATAGGGTCACTACAAGTCAGAATCAACTCGACAGCAACAGGTTTATATATATTTATAGATATATATTTATAGGTATACATTTATAGGTATATATTTATAGGTATATATTTATAGGTATATATTTATAGGTATATATTTATAGATATATATTTATATATATTTATAAATGTATATTTATAGATGTATATTTATAGATGTATATATACACATATATACACACACACTTCATACAATAAAATAATAAAGAAGAAAGTGAAAACGCAACTCAGAGAATGAGAAAATATTTGTAAATCATATATCTGATAAGGAACTAGATCCAGAATATACCTTACAATATAACTCTTAAAACATAAGAACACGAGCAAAAGAAAAATGGCGCTCTAGGCAGAAGCACCACGCCATCCCTCCACAGCAAATATCCGAAAAACTAAGCCGGACAGAGAAAACAACAATCCTGAAACCCTAAAACATCAAATGAACAGATAAAAACTCAGTGAAGCACCAAATGGAGTGAGAAAACTGATAGAGAACGGAGAGCAAGAAGAGATTCATGCAGAGGTCCCCTAAGAGCTAACGCAGCACGGATCTGCCATCTTGAACTCCTATCAGAGACCAGCAAACAGACGGTACAAGAAAGCAGCTTCACGGAGCTTCCAGCAGGAGACAAAACAACCAGTAATTTGCTATACACGCTTTCCCACCACCCACCCTTCTTCACCCCCACTCGGCCTCCTCTGCTTCCCAGGGCCACAATCTCTTGTCCAGGAAGCCCCGGCTACTTGGATTCCACCCACCCGAACAGGTCGGCTCTCTGAGTGCCACTTGTTGGCTGCTGGTGTTGCCTTTTTCGCTTCTTTTGATTTCTTCCTTACCTCTCACCACCTCCCTCTCCTTTTGCTCAAATACCTGGCACCGTGTGCCATCTTTGCTTCTTCCTGAGGGGCTGCGGAGCTCCGTTAGAGTGTGGAGCTGCTTCCCGGTCTGGGCTGCTGCGCTGGTGAGGTCCCGGGGCTTTTATTCATTGGTTTGTTTTGAATTGTTTGTTTTCTTTTCCTTTTCTTGAGTTGGGAGCCCGTTCTGGCCAGGCGGTGCTGCGTGGCTTGGAAACTATCCCCTCGGCTTGCACAGACGTGCAGAGGGATCCCTGAGGACATTTCTTTTTCTGTTGGGATTTTTTTTGTTTGTTTTTTGGGGGGCTTTTCTTGTTCTTTTTTTTTCTTTTAATTTGTTTTGGTTTCTTTTCCTTCTTTTTCCCTTTTCATCTTCCTTCATTACTCAGTTTCTCATCTCTCTATATCTTCCTTCTCTTTCTGTTCCCTGAATACCTGGTGCTGTGTACCTCTACGCCTTCTAGCCAGACTGTACTGCAACACCTGAGAGAAACTTCCCCAGACTTCATAGCTACAATGGTGGGATCCCTGGGAACTT